AACTTCTTTTATCAATTCTACCTCTCACTCATGTCCTGTATTAACCATCTACTTATCACTCAGCAATGCGTTCAGTTGCAAGTAAGTCAAGCACAGAAAGAGGAGTTGGTTTTCTCACATCAGTCTGGAGGAGCCAAGCCTGGCGGTAGCCCAGCATCTCAAGGCCCTTTGATTTTCTGAGCCTTCTCCTCAGAATCAAAAGAAAGCTCATTATAGCTGTAGCTTCAGCTTTCATGATTTTCAAGGTCCAAAGATAGGGGAGGAAAAGGATAACAGCAGCCAAGTCTGTTCCCTCTAATCGCAAGAGCAAAATTTCCCCAGGAATTCCCAAATGCCTTATTGGTCAGACATGTGTCACACTAACTATCTAGCTGCAAGGGAGGCTAGCAAGGCAGGTCAGAGAACTGCAAACAGCATCAAGGAACATCAAGTCAATAAGGAACATGGGTGGGCTGTACTAGGGGTACACACTGACCCAGCGGCTGAATGCTGACCAGTTCTTAAGCATTCTTGTCTACATGCCTCTGTTTAACATGGAAGGACTAAACTTGCCAAAGATGCTTTCCCACCATCACCTCTTTTTTTCTTCCCTATCATTTCCTCCACCTATCACACCAGACATATGGTGTAGCCAGTTTATCACACTCCTTTCCTCCTCCTGGAGGAAGTGTGGAAACTTCCTCCTGCAGGAAGTATGTAATGCCCCATCTGGCCCAGCAGTCTGGTGGTATCCTCAGCTTTTCCAACTGCCTAGCAGTTGCTCAGACAAGCCCTCTATATAGACATCCCAACCCCCAGAATGTTTGGTTTGGCTCTATAAAATCTTTTAGTTAATTTGAACAACTGGAAAAGGGAGTCATTTCTTTAGATTATGCTGGACTCTCGTTTAGCACAGTAACTATTACACACATCAAATATGTGCTAAGAATTGTATTCTAAATTTTGCTAAACATTGGGGCACCTGGGTGGCTCAGTGGGTTAAGCCTCTGCCTTCGGCTCAGGTCATGATCTCAGGGTTCTGGGATCAAGCCCTGCATCGGGCTCTCTGCTCCGTGGGGAGCCTGCTTCTGCCTCTCTCTCTGCCTGCCTCTCTGCCTACTTGTGATCTCTGTCAAATAAATAAATAAAATCTTAAAATTTTTTTTTTTTTTTTGCTAAACATGGATTGATCTTCATGGTTTAAGATCTCTCAACAAAACAGACTGCTGTAGTTTTTATAAAAATCTTGTGTACTTGCTGTATTTCATAAAAGACCCTTTTGTTAATGAAAATCCTTAAAGAACCAACTTTAAGAATGATCATGGTCCAGTAGCCCAGTACATAATTTTTACTTTTCTGAACTGTCCTTAAAATACCTCTAGGACTACTCACCACTCACAGGGATCCACTGACCCTGTGAGATCAAGTTAATTAATGGCAAAGATAAAGGTGTTTTTATGCTGGACTTAATGTTCTTTTAATTATAACTTGATACTACTAGTTAAGCTCCTGGAAATTGAGTACAAATGATTAAATTACCAGGTATTCTATTTTAGTAAGCTACTACATCCTTTTGTAAGATGTGACTTATTAGCGATAGGAATAGCAACGCTCTGATTTTCTAATTTGTAAATAAGGATTGCCCTATATGCAGTTTTTCAAAGTAATACACAACTGAGTGCCTTCAGAATTTCATCAAGAAGTCTAATGTCTGTCATTTTAAACAATTTCTGGGAGGCCTGGGTGACTCAGTTAAACATCTGACTCTTGATTTGGCTCCGGTCGTGATCTTGAGATCATGTGATGGATCCCCATAGAGGGCTCCAGGCTGAGTGTGGAGCCGGTTTAAGATTTTCTCTCCCCCCTCTCTCTTTGCCCACCTAGGCAACCCTTCCCCAATGTGCATGTGCTCTCTCAAAAAAACCCACAACAAACAAACAAACAAAAAACAAACCAAAAAAACCCCCCAAAACAAAAAGGAAAACAAAACTTCTCTAATTCTAGAACCTAAAACTAACAGCTTTTAACCTGAGCTCCAAGAGAAATTACCTAAGAATATTAAATCAAAACAACCAGTAAACTGAATGAAATTCAAAAATAACCAATATTAGCTGAAGGTTTGTGACTGGTTTGGAGTAGATGTGAAATCTAGTTCTAAGGGGGAAAAAAATCTTTGTTTGGCATACAAGAAACACATTTTGCAAACAGTTTTCAATCACTGTTTAGAAACCTTTTTCTGCATTTGCTTTCCAAAGATGGATAAAAATAACAGTATTTGTAAAACGACACTTTCTTCTACATAATTAACCTGTCACCTTCTGATGCTCCATGTTCTCTGATAACTTCAAAGTCAGGATGTTTCTGGCCATATGCTTGTGGAAGAATCTGGAAGACCACAATGACTGGATTGTGAAACGACAAGAAATAATTGACAAAAACAAAGCATATTAAAAACAGCAACTTCCGAACTCAAAATTCATGCTTGGCTACCATCTGCTCTGAAATGGGGAAGCCTGGAGCAGGCTGATGTGACCTGGTTGTACCCGAGGGCTTGTGTTAGCCAGCATTCAGGCCACATCTCTTGTTCACCACTCAAATTCATATCTGTACTTCTCTGCACTGGACACAATACATAAATGTTTAAAAGCTATCTCTGCATTACAAGTGTATCAGAAAATGCATAACTTTGTTCTACAGTAAGTGCAATTCTCTTACTCTATTTGGAAAGCCTTAGGTGCTAAGTTCATTGGAGATATTCTTTTAAAATCTAATAGAGGGGTGCCTGGGTGGCTCAGTCGATTGAGTGGGGCAGGTGGTGTTCTGCTTATGGATTCTCTCTGCCCCTCACCCAGCTTGCTGGCTCATGCTCTCTCTCAAATAAACAGATAAATCCTTAAGAAGATCAAATCTAGTCTAATAGAAATGTAGAAAGGGGAGAATTGCAGATTTAGAGTGTCACACTCTGTGGAGAGCTACTGAGGAGGGGAAAGTGGAAGAAACAGACAGCTGGTCTCTTTGAAACACAGAAGGCTCTCAAGTCCATAGAAAGATTCTGTAGGATTCTCCAGTAATAAGGCATCTCAATTTTGGGCCTTGTTGGGAAACTGCAACCTCACTTTAAAAGGACTGTATCAAGATGGGGGAAGGGATGCAGTATGAAAATTCAATGAGAAACTCAAAAGGCAACTTAAAAATACAAATGGAGAAAATAAAGGAAAAAAAACTTTGCTTTTTGTCAAAAGCAACAATGGTCCTATAAAACCCACCATTTCCCCCCAAAATTATCAATTTCATTTTTCCTTTGCCTCATTACATATGCACTGTGAATACAATCACCATTACAGCACATTTTAATATGTAAATACAAGTGGAGAATGTCAGTACACTCCCCCTTTAACTAAAACCTAATATACAGAAATCTAAATTCAACAAATAGATTATTTATATTAAGAACTAATTTTTCAAAAGATTTATGTGAGAGAGAGAGAGAGAGAGAGAGAGGAAGAAACTCCAGCGGATGGATTCCTCGCTGAGCTCTAGCCCAGTGCAGGCTCATGGACCCTTATCCCCAACCACCACCATGATCAGGACCTGAGTCCAACGCTCAACGGACTGCGCCACCCAGGGACCCTAACACTATGAATTAATTTTAACTTCATAAAAATTCTCTATGTATAAAAATATAAAGGCCTTTTGGGAAAAAATCACATTCGTCTATATACCCTTTGAGGAATATAACTACTCTATAAAATAACCCTGAGAGATTATCAAATAGTCTGTTTTATTTCATTCTTTCTAGAATCCATATCTCAATATCTAAGTCCCCAGAGTGTATCTGAACTTGGCCTTCATAAACTAGATGAGTAGACTAGATCAGCTATAAGGCTATAGAGGAGGGGCACCTGGGTGGCTCAGTGGGTTAAAGCCTCTGCCTTCGGCTCAGGTCATGATCCCGGGGTCCTGGGATCGAGCCCTGCATCGGGCTCTCTGCTCCGTGGGGAGCCTGCTTCCTCCTCTCTCTCTCTACCTGCCTCTCTGCCTACTTCTGATCTCTGTCAAATTAATAAATAGAATCTTTAAAAAAAAAAGTAATATTAAAAAAAGGCTATAGAGGATATTATTTTTAAAGGACTAGGAATATTATGGACAAATAAAACTCAAAAACTTATCCTAGTAAGGAAATTACTATATTCTTATCTATCATCTATCTCTTATTATCATTTTTAATCCTGAGAGCACAGACCTTATCTTGAATTTATCCTCAGATTTCCAATGCCTACCACATAGTAAGAGCTGGGTGTGTGGGAAATTAATGAGTCAAGTTTCCACTCCCTCTCTGAACCCTGCCAGGATGTGAGATCATTAGGACGCTCTGTGCTACGGATGACAATTGACAGTGACTGAAATAGGCAGGAGAGTAGAGGGAGACATAAAGAGGAGAAAAACCCTCCCTGGTTGGTGGAAAGCTGTGGGGTGGGGTGGAGATAATGATTCATAGAGAAAATAATAATACACCCTATCTTTGAATTTTTATGATTTTCAAAGTGCTTTTACAAGATTCTCATTTTCTCCTCATTAGTCGCCTGGGAAGTTATATGAGATTACTTAATATATAAACCCCGTAATTCATAAAGAAAGTAAGGAAGTACAACACATTTACTGTAAAATGTTAGGTGTTGCTTTAAAGAGAAAAATGGTAAATGTAACTTTTTCCACTAGTGAAGGGTTACACTTATTTATACGATCAGATAAACCTCTAGGTGAATATTTACAAATTAATCGTTTTCCAAGAAAAAGTTATGACTCATGAAATGAAATAAACAATTAACTGCCTGGTAATTTTAGGTGTGAAGATATTACTGCTCCCCAAATGATACCCCCCCCCAAGAATGGAATTTAAAATGTATGGCAGCATACCTAAAATACTATATAACCCACAGGTGAAAATTGCCCAAATCTCAATAAGAAATAGATTTATTCAGTTGATTGCTGTTTCACTTAACCTCTGGCAAATAACTTACCCTGAAAGTCCCCACCACCTCCTTTGATCCCGCTTCTCCAGTACATTCTGGGGAGCATCCGTTATTGCAGTCCTTAAAGAAGAATTAAATTCATTAAGTAAAGCCTGGTGGGTAACTGCGGCCTGGGGTAATCAGGATCGCTTACCATCCCACCGCGGGCTCCGCTCAGGTACCGGAGCAAACAGGGAAAGGAGGCTCAAGCACCCAGGCACCAGCCCCAAAGGAGAGCGTCCTGGGAGTGTTGTCCTTCACTTTCTACCCTTCCGGACGACGCAGCTGTTTTCGTCCTCCACCGCTGGCTTAGGGCAACCGGTTAAATTCCAGGGTCGCCCTACAGAGCCAGGGCTCACCAGCAAAGAACAAGAAGGTAATTGTCCCCCCTTATATCTGAGTAAATAGTCTAGACTAGGGTTTTAAGCCATTTATAGAAAAATCTCCTGGGCGCGCTCAGCCTCGTGGTCTTGTCAATCACTCGCGCACAATAGCTAGACTGGAAAAGGGATGAGGACGAGAATGAACCATTTTCTCCAAGGACAGGGTCCTGCAATGCAGGCGCGTGGACACCAAACCTCACAGGTTAAGGACAAAACCTCAGGGAATTAGGCAGTAATATAAAAAAGATACTTAAGAACACAATAGAAGTGGGATGAATTGGGGAACGGTGCAGACCTTTAAAAAGAAAAGAAAAAAATAAAAAATCCTAATCTGCTAAATAGCTACGTGAGAGAGGGGGGGAAAGGGAGGGATCCAAGGAGGCAGAAGGCTGCAGTCAAAATATTTGGGGGTGGTGAAAGCACGGAGGATGTGGCTGTCAGTTCTGGCCACCCAGAAATTCCGCTTCCCCCTCCTCCCCCAAAGCGGCTTCCATGGCGACCCTCGCGTTCCCGGTGGCTGTCCGCGCCGCGCTCCAGAGCGGGTCACCGGCTGGCCGTTAGACTTGGCGGGCAGGGGCCTCTCCAAAGCGGAGTTTGCGGGCTGGAGGTCTAGATTTCGCTTAGGGTTGGGGAAGGATGAAACGGCTGGGTGGAGACGACGGCGATGCGCGGCGAAGCAGGATGATGCAGGAAACGCCAGCACTGCGCCCGACCAGGCTGGCTGGCTTCGGAGACCCCGGGTCCATTCCGCCCCCCTTCCACAAACGCCCGGGTTCAGGTACCTGACGGGCGAGGGTCGCAGCGGCGCAGGTCGGGCTGGCCATGGGGAGCCTCCGGGAGCGCGGGGCTGCGGAGAGCGGCGGCGGCACGCAGCGCGCGGCTGGACGCGAAAGCGGGCGGCGCAGCCAAGCCCCGGCGCACGGACTGCGCGGCGCGGGCTGCCACAGCCGGGGGCCCCGCGCCAGGGCGAGGCGCAGGGAACGACGCAGTCCCTCCAGCATCCCTGGAGGAGGAGCCTCCACCCGTCGGGTCCTTCTCGCCGTTCAGTGGGGAAAACCAAAGCCTTCGTCCCCTCCACCTGGTCCCGGGCTGGGGCGCCGGAATGCGCGCCGCAGGCGAGCGCCTTTCCAAATGCAGGCACTTCATGAGCGTCCTTATTTACCAAACAACCCCTGGGTAAGCGGCCCGGAAACGCCCCTCGGCCAAGGCGAAGGCCACCTTGGGGGAAATTAATTTACATTAGGGGAGAGTTTCCTTGCACAAACCGACTAAAGGCAGTTTGCGGCCCAGGACTGGCAGCCGGGCACTGCTCTCATCTGCCACCCACCCGCACGCGCAAACTGATGAGGGAAAACGTCAGTCTGGGTTTTCAATTTCTTTGCACCACCTACTCGAGTGGATTTGTTGCGGGGTGTAGCAGGGCTCCCAGGCTCAGTCATATCTCTACGAGCTCTTTCTGCCCCAGTGCTACTTAGACCCACCCTATTCAGCGTTTTCAGGCAAAAATAGACTGTGGAGAGCTCCCCAATCGATTCGAGCTTTCTGATGTAAGCCCGTGAGCGCAATATTTATAAAGAGAGTTGATAAAGCGACCTTTGAAAGGGAAAAGGAAGCTACTGCCTCCTCTGCTGTGTTCTCTTAGGGCAACGTCAGCCTAAGTTACGAGCTTTTCTGGGCTTCAGAACTAATAGGAAGTGGTGACTTAGGCTGATTTGTTCTTGGAAAGGAGGAGGGCCATTTATTCTGGGTAAGTGCGGTTAAATCTGGTCTGGTTTTAGAATTGATTTCATACAGCCTTCTCGACAATATAGCTCTAATCTTATCAACTCAGAAGACATTCATTTTTCCCTTCCTCCTTTCCTTTCATAAAAGGCATAGAAAAGCCTCTTATGAAGCTCCAAAGACCAGATAGCCCAGGCAGGTCACAGATCCCTGGAAACCAGTCTCTTTGAAGAAATTTAAAATCAAATTAAAAATAGAAAGTACAGACTAAACTCTAAGGCTGCCATTTTCCAACCTTGTCCCCATGCCTAAAAATAAGGAACCCTCGGCTGAAGAATTAACAATTGATTTGCATTCAAAAGCTTGATTTAACTGACTACACCAGAGGAGCATTAAAAGTCTAATTGTTTTAAAGGTAGATACTACACAGCTCCAGTTTTCTTGCTATTTTACATATTACTTGTAAATCCTTGCTTTTCAGTCAAGAAAGCATATATAATACAAGAATGAGGTTATTAAAGAATTACCACAGTGCCACTTGTACCTCTCATCTTGTCAGAGCCAAACTGCGCAAGGGCATCTGTATTAACTGCTTCTACTTCTTCCCACTTCAAGTGGCTGCAGTTGGATTCCTGTCCAGTCATTCACCTGAACAAGGCTCCTAATAGCCTTCATTTTGCTCAGCCCAATGGTTTTGCTTCCTGTGCATTTTCTTTCTTTCTTTTTAAAATTTATTTATTTGACAGAGAGAGAGATCATAAGTAGGCAGAGAGGCAGGCAGAGGCGGGGGGGGGGGGCAGCAGGCTCCCTGGCGAGCAGAGAGCTCCATGTGGGGCTGATGTGGGGCTCGATCCCAGGACCCTGGGATCATGACCTGATCCAAAGGCAGCGGCTTTAACCCACTGAGTCACCCAGGTGCCCCATGCTTCCTGTGCATTTTCATGGCTGACCCTATGTGGTAATGGCTCCCAAAAACATATTTTGTCAGTCCACCGCTCTCCTGAGCAGTATTTACAGCCAAAAATATAAGATATTTATTTTGTAGTTAACATTTGTGAAAGCAAAGGCTCTGGGCTAAGTGCTGGGATGCAGTGTGAGCCTACCTCCATCCCATTATCATGCAATGCCTGCAGCCATCTAGAAAAATGTTACTTTGTTGGAAAGCATCAATAAATTCTACAATGTAAAACTGCAAAAGTAACAAGCTCCACCTGTGTTTTACCAGCCTCTAATAATGGAATGTATCCCGCTTGGAAAGGTCTGGAAAGGCTTTCCAGCCAGGGATTCTTAATTAGAGACCTGGCAGATAAAACATATTTACTACAAGAAGGGATGAAAAAACATCTGGGGTGAAAGTGAATTCCAGGAAAGGACCTCTCTGAGGGGAGAAGGAACATGGTGCTTACAGGAAACTAAAGAGAGCCAGGGCTGGAGTGGAGAAAGCACAGAGTTCGGGGGGAGGCTGGGAGCATTGGCCGACAGCCAACCACGCATAGTGCCTCATAGAGTTAAAGGATAATTTCCCTGATAAAGGTAAAAGCATGACTGTCACATACATATAAAATGAACTTGTATTATAGTCTGTAGTCTTGTATTAATTCCTGTAATGAAGTTACCAGGCAGATGTTAAAACTTACTCGAAGAACAGACACATTTCTGAGTCAGAAACAGTGACATCAATTTGTAATGGATATGAAACTAGCTTCTTCCACAATTGAGAAGATAAATTAACTGAACCTTCACCCTCAGAATTTATTTCTGAATTTATTATTATTTATTTATTCTGAATTATTATTCAGAATTTATTGACAAGAATGATTTTTGCGGGGCACCTGGGTGGCTCAGTGGGTTAAGCCTCTGCCTTCAGCTCAGGTCATGATCCCCGAGTCCTGGGATCAAGCCCTGCATCGGGCTCTCTGTTTGGCAGAGTCTGCTTTCCACTCTCCCTCTCTGCCTGCCTCTCTGCCTACTTGTGATCTCTGCCTGTCAAATAAATAAATAAAATCTTTAAAAAAAATGATTTTTTGCTTTCCTATCCATTATCTGTAGAGTAAATCAAAAACAGTGAAACAACATGAAAACACAATAAAAACTGATAGGAATCCTAAGAACAAGCAAAGCCATGGAAAGGTTAGATTAGGTGAGGAATGGAGGTAGAAGTGGACAGGATAGAAAGCACACTCTGGCTGCAGTTTGAAGATTGGTGAAGTGAAATGGGTTTATAAGAAAGCTATTACAGAACCCACATAAATGATGATCCTATTAATAAGATGGACTTGGCAGGTGGTAGGTGACTCAGATGAAAAGAAGCAGCCAGATTTCAGCAATCTTTCAATAGAATGGACAAGAGAAGGAACAGGGAGAGAGAAGTGCCAAGAAAGGCTCCTTCAATTCTGGCTTGCTCTTCTGGTTGGTGATATTCACTAAGAAAAATGGTACACTGAAAGACGATGTGGTTTGAGGGGATAAGCAGGAATCTGGTTTGGGGCATACTGAGTTTTGGGCCATCTCTGAGACTGGCTGTTGGAGATATACTTGTCTGAAGTTCAGATGAGAGGTCTGGTTTAGGAGTCAACATTTGAGGAGTCCGTGGCATGGAGGTGGTAACTGCTGCTATGGGTATGAGTGAAAATGTCACATCCGTGTCTCTGTAAATGGGACAACAGCAACACTTCATGTTTGCCAGTTGGGATGGAGTATCATAACATACATACCATATGAAAATTATTTAGAACATTGTTCAGTAAGTGTTAATACCTCAATAAATGAAAATAATGATCATTTATCTCAGTTGGCATTTTCTTAAAGGGCCAGATAGTAAATACTTTAGCCTTTAGGGCTATGGGGTCTTTGCTGCAATTACTCAGATCTGTCAATGTATTTCAAAGCAGCCATGGGCAGTATGTAAAAGAATGGGCATGGCTGGTTTCCCATAAAACTGTATTTACAAAAATAAGACAGAGCAGATTGGCCAGTTGGCTGTAGGTTGCAGACTCCTACCCAAGGCAGTTGCCCTAACTAGAAACCTGAAGGTTGTCCTTCAAACACAACCAAGTGATTGCCAATATCTATACATTCTAGCTCCAAATATCCTGACAGTCGCCATTTCTCCAGACATATTTCTGCCATCCCAGTACCAAACAGCTTCCAAGTAGCCTCCCCATTCTTCAACTTTGCTTCCTTTTAAAGCATCCTTAGCATGTACAGAAATCCTCTCCAGATGCAAATCTGAACATATCCCTTGTAGGCTAAAAAATACCCACTCATCACTCTTATGACAAATATTTTAACAAGCTCTCCCACCCATCCCAAATTATGATTCCTGCCCCAACTAACTCCCTGGCTCACCTTTTGCTGCTCTCCCTCTCTCCAGC